TGAGAAATTGCTGTATAATTACCCACAAAGCACTGATTGCACGATCTACTAATTGTCTCTGCTGTTCTTTGTAATTATCTGCAGTGTTGCCTATTTTGAGTCAAACACAAGTAATTGCGGGGTGTTTCATATCCTGGTTCTTATCACGATAATCCTCCTTCATGTGAGATGCTCTGAATGTGCTTCTCTATTCATCTTGACAACATGTGCATCAGAAAAAGATATTACACAATGAGATGTTACATAAAACTACGTGGGCTCTAAAGATATGCACCAGTTTGTTTTTTTAAATTGCAATGAAAAAATAACCCTACTATGTCCCTTCAGACTCAAACATCTTGGTCCATTGAGCCAAAATAGTAGATAACTGCTGTTGACCAAAAACAGTACTGTGTTAGTGTTTTTGTTGATTTAAAGAAAGCTTTTGACACAAATGATCACACAATTCTTCTTGAAATTCTTCTTGAAAAGAAGCTACCCATAGTTATTTGAAAAATAGGAAACAGTTTGTTCAAATAAATGATATAAGATCTGAACTCAGTAGTATCACATGTGGAGTTCCTCAGGGTTYTATACTTGGACTAAAGCTGTTTATTTTGTATGTAAATGATTTAGTAAATATATCAGGGTTGTTTAAATGTGTTCTGTTTGCTGATGACACTAAAAATTTTTTTGTTTGGGTAGGGATATTCGGCCATGGTTCTGATTTCCCACAATGCTTTGTGTCTGCTTACATAGCAGGAAGGCAATAACAAAAACAGTAAACGTTTGTAATGTATTGATTTATTTTACTTTACAATCGGAGCTCCTTTTTTAAAAAAATAAAGTTTAAACACTGGAGCTCAAAAGCAATCGGCCAACGGGGTTAGAGACTCAGAAATGATTTAAAGATGTTGTGCTGGTGAAGACTGACATTTAATGGTCAACTGGAGCAACTACATGAAAACGTCCTAAACCAGGTAGAAAAAAATCAAAAAGAAAAAAATAAGTTGGTCCTCTGGATGGGTTCTTCTTTAGTGAAACGTTTCGTCTCTCATCCAAGAGACTTCTTCAGTCTGAGTTTCAGGTGAACTGGAAAACTTTAAAATCCAATGGAAACATGAAAAACTTTCAAATCCAATCTCTTATTTTGAAGGGAAGATACTAGTTTCCTGTTCCCCATGCTTTCATTTCCTGTCAGTCCGTCATGTACCCAGAATGCATCGCTTCAGTTTTCCAAATTRCTTTATTGATGCTTCTTTAATGAAAAATCTATAACAAACAAAGAAAAAGACAAAGAAGCAGCCGAACTAGCAATCCTCAACAACTTYTTAATTTTTACACCAGGAGCCAAAGTTTCAGGAAATCACATCCCCATCAATGCGCTGTTGTAGGATTAAGCTGCACAAGGGTTCATACACCGCTAGTTGGCAGTGTTGTGCACACATTGTACATGAATTGTCAGCTAGKAAGTGTCAAATTGAACTTGTGCTTTAAAATTAGCTTATGCTAATTTTTCTATGACATAAGCATTTTTGAAGTTGCGGTCCTAACTATTTTCATAAGCGCTTTAGAAATTGCRGAGCTAATTTTTGGATTAGCGCTGCCCACCACTGGTGAAAACTAAAAATCAGAGTTGGTGACTGCAAACACAGCATAGAAGCAGTGGAGGTTATAGAGTCTAACAGCTATTAAACTATTTATCTATTAAATGTAAAACTGCAAAAAGTTAGATATGAGATTCAGCTCATAGAAGCCGTGTGCAACATAAARAAGTCCTTCCTCTTATCTCTAATGTCTGAACTTTTGAATATTCTTATCAGTGTTTTCTATCTCGGAGGGACTGAAGTGATAAAACCTGAATGATCATGAGGCACGCTGTCTGCTCCGTGTCCTCCGGGGACATTCGAGTGTACTTTGCATTTAAATGACAGCCTTTAGCAGTTTGTCCCGCAGGACTGATTGGGAGTTTCTTTTTTCCTCGTTTCCGTTCCTTCCGCAGCTTTTTAATATCTCTGTGTTGGGATGTAAACGTGATTATTTTCCTCTCARACTGGAAGGATTTGTTGGTAATTCTAGCGGGCGATGTAAATTACCAGGTCTTTATTTAGAAAACATGTTTGGGATTTTTATTTTATTTTTTTTTGTGCTCAGTAGTTTCAAAGCTCGGCTCTGATTTGGACAGATGCTTGTGTTCCACCCGAGCCTGCAATCAGGAGGGTTGAGTTTCCTGRGCACTTCCCTCACTTCCTCGCTGATTGAATTGGAAAGGTTAGGTGGTGTGCAGATGGTTTTTCTCCTGGAAGTGAGATTTCAGCGCCCGGCTGACTCGTCTCAGTGAGACCTCAGGAGGCCTCACCTTCACTCCTCCTCTGTTTGARTCAGTTTCCTCCTCGCCGCTCGGCGCTGGATTGACCTTCCTAATCCAGACTCACTCTGCTGTGTTTACTGGGACCTCCCTCTGCTAAATAATGACACCTCTTTGGTTTTTTCTTTTATTCAAATCCTTTGATGTTTTTCTCTTTGACTGTTGAACAGAAAAATAACCAGCACTAAATCTTTATGTTGGTCAAATCGTTACAACCTGCAGAGGATTCCCTACAGTCCAAACCCTACAAATGAGACATTAACTCTGTTGTCTGTCCTAGTGGGAGTCAGGATTTGTTTTCATTTTTCTGTTTGCAGCTTTATCAGAATCTTATTAATCACWGTTTTGGTAAATGTTAGGAGACTGAAACTTTAATTAATCGCTGAAAGAGCTGCGATTATAAATTGTTTTCAAAATTCAAAGAGAGCCAAACGGTCCAGAGTCAATTAACTCATCAAAAGTTCTCATTTTAATCCTAGTTTATCTTTTGACAAGACATGATGTTGAAAGATGGATTTAAAGTTTCATTGATCAAAACTGAGCTGAAAGATTCAGAGTTTGAGCATCATTAGCTGTGTTTTCATTGACCATGAAAATGCGCAAATTAGAATTTCAAAAATAAATTTGATCAATGGAAACACGTCAATTTTAAAAAAAACATGTTTTTCTACAAAATGTTTTTGCGCTAGGATAAAATGGTTTTTCGGCTCTATCGTAATTGATGTATTTCGCAAAAGTGCAATGGAAACACTTTTTTTGCATCACAGGAGTCACGTGATCAACAACCGTCTGTTTCTACTGGTGAAAAAGACGAAGAAGAGGACAACAGGAAGTAGAATTAGTAGGAAAATCAAAGTAGTGTTGAGGATTGTAGCAGTACTTGTTAGGAGCTGGGGCAAAAGGTCAGAATAAGGATCGTATAAACATCTGGTAAAAGCATTCTGTAAAAGGTGAGATAATCAAACAGTCTACAAATAGATTTAATAAGTGTGTATTGGGTGTTCTTAAATTTCCAGCCCAATTCTTGGAAGTGGCCACCCTTCCTGGTTACGTAGAATTTGTGTTATGAAAACCGTTTGGGTATAAAAGGTTTCTAAATACACCAGTTCAGTTGGGATGATTCTGTTGGTTGTATTGATCTGCTGAACTCAATAAAACTCCATCGGCTGGCCAAAAGCGACATCTCCTCATCTTTATTTCATCTTGATAACAGAGAACAATCTGCCCCTTCATTTGGCGCCCAACGTGGGGCCAGGGACAAGCCACAGTAAAAGAAAGTAGTGAAATCGACTACAATTTCCCAAAAACGCAGCACATTCCCAAATATAAGGGGTTTGTTGCTCAAAAGCCTCGATAAAACGCCGATGTCTCCTCTGATGATGAGCACTAGTGTCGCAGAAGCGATATACATGTGTTTACATCCATCGCTGCCATGTTTGTAACGACTTATCACGAGAACAAACATATTCACGCATGACTTTAATAGCATTTCTTACGTAAATAAAACACAGCAGTTGTGAAACTGTTTTTCGACATTAACAGAATATCAACAGTTTTGAGCACATTTGCAATGGAAACACAGCTGTTCCTCTGAGCTGAAAGTTTGTTTCCAAACCAAGTTTGTCACTTTTATCAACATCAAGATTTAATAAGTAAAAATGATTCTAATGATGTTAAAATATCWATTCTTCTACGTCTTCCTCAACCCTAAAACTGTTCAAAATAACACTTTTTCTTAACTTCTACCATTTTCTCACATTTAWATAAATTAATTCTGCATAATTTGATGTAAATTCCAACATTCAACACGTCGTGTGTTAATTTTTAATGAACTGTAGGATCTTCTCAGCAGCTGGTTTGTTTTTAGAAACACAAAGTCTTCAAATGTTCTCTGTGAGATAAAGTCAGATGATTATTTGAGTTGATGTTTATTTATAAATTAATTCAGCATTTGTTGATTCTGTACAAGTTCTCACTTTTTTCCTTGAGTTTTATTAGAATGTTTAAATTCTGCAGAAGCTTTTTAATCGTTTATTTCAATCRGGTCATCTGGTTTTACAGGCAGCTGTAAAAAAACACAAGCACCTTGTAAGAAAATACGTGTTCAAAGACTGAAGTCAATATGAAAACCACCACTGTTAAATAAAATGATTTGTAGAAGGAATAAAACCATACAAAACCAGAATTCTGGAACTGAATGGGGTTTATTGTCACCGGAGCTGACAGGAAACCACACTGCCCAAAAACCAGGAAGTACCTCCATTTATACATGGTCTTCAATGCCTGAGTTCGCCCCCTACTGACCTACGGCTGAATCACAGGCATTCATACTAAAGTCTCATCTAATGTCATTATAACGTTTTAATTATGTGTTGTTTATAATTCGGACATGTAACTAATCTATATCAATCAAGACATAATAGATTAAACATTGTCAACATTATAAAAGGAAAACCTAATAATACAGTGTTGTGCTTATAACATCAGTGCTAATCTCTGATAACTATAAATTTCTTCAACCTTTTTACATGTAGGCAGAACTTGTGAGGAAATAATGCTGTAAAAACTTCATGTAAAGAAACACTGTTCTGTTAATTCACATCATTTTTAAAGGTATTTTATGTATTTATTCATTTCTGTCATCGTCCCTCAGGGCAGAACCCATTCTGCAGAGGATAAAGGAGGACCGGACCCGCGTGGTGTCTCCGTCGTTCGACAACATCAAGTACGACACGTTCGAGATCGAGGAGTACCCGCTGTCCGCTCAGGGCTTCGACTGGGAGCTTTGGTGCCGGTACCTCAACCCACCCAAGTCCTGGTGGGTTCTACGCAACCACACAGCGCCCATCAGGTGAGAGGGAGGGGCTCCGGCTGCCACTCAGGAACACTCAATGACAAGGAAATCCATCGAGAAAATGTGCTTTCAGAATAAAAGAGAACCAAAAGTAGCTCTGCGTGAATTAATACTTTTCTTCAAAAACATAATGACGTTTTTTTGATGACATCATTTAGCGACCTTTTGTTTACGTTGGAACTTTGAAACCTTAAAAGGCCAGGATTATGTTTCTCAGGCATAAAGTTAAATTCTATACCAGAATAAAGTAACTATAGCTGCGTTTCCTTTGACCATAAAAATGTGCAAATTAGAATTGCAAAAATAAATTTGCTTAATGGAAACACACCAATTTCAAAACACGTGTGTTTTTTGACAAAATGGATTTGCGCTAGGATAAAGTAGTTTTTCGGCCGTATCAAAATTGATGTATTTCGCAAAACTGTAATGGAAACACTTTTTTCGCATCACAGGAGTCACATGATCAACAACCGGATGTTTCTATTGGCGAAAAAGACAACAGAGAAGAAGACAACAGGAAGTAGACGTAGAAGTAGTAAAATCATGGACTACAATTTCCCAAAAACACAGCATACGTAGCCGCTCCCAAGTTTAAGGGTTTTGTCGCTCGAAAGCCTCGATAAGACGCCGACGTCTCCTCTGATGATGAGCGCTAGTGTGGTGGTAGCAACATGCTATGTGTTTACATCCATCGCCGCCATGTTTGTAACGACTTATCGCGAGAACAAACGTATTCACACGTAATTTTAATAGCCTTTCTTACTCAACGGAAACACAGCAGCTGCAAAACGGTGTTTTTCGACATTAACAGAATATCGACACAGATTGGCACACTTTTGAAGTGGAAACACAGCTTATGTCAACTTCAGTTGTTATTAAAATGTTGTTTATTTGTATTAATCAAAAATAAATTTGCATCATAGCCGTTTCTAAACACCTTGAAATTGGCCTCTGTGTCTTTAACAGAGTTGTAAAGTAACTAAGTACAAATACTTTGTTACTGTACTTAAGTAGAATTTTTGGGTATCTGTAC